GGGGGGGGGGGGTACCCGTGAGAAACAGTACGGCGGTGGTACCTCCCGCATTCGGCCGGAGGTGATCCCAACATGTAAACCGTTGTACGCATACGTGGATGAACGGCAGCAGTTCTGTATGGCGTTGTGGGGTAAATATGTCAACGAAGCTGAGTGAGGCTTCGTCCAGGTGGTGGAGTACTCAATACCGTAAAAGCGCGAGTCACGGCACACACCGCACACTTGTACTTCTGTTCGATTGCTTACAGGCAGAAAGGCTCCCATGCCGAAAAAGGGCACGTTGGAAAAATGTCGTCGAAAGCTTTGCCTGAAGTTCAGTCGGTGTTCCGCAATTCGGTCTATGTTGAGGGAGTGGCGTGCATGAAGTCGACAACTTGACACGTTTACGGTATCCTAGACAGCAACTAAATTTAGCACCTGACCACAGAGGGAAGATTGACCGGGAAGATTGATTGCCACAACTCCCCCTGTTCTCTCGAGGATGCTATCACACATGCAGCTAGCTCGAGGCAATGCTTGACTAGCTTTCAACTTTGTACCAACAAAAAAAAACATCCTCCACGGAGATCATTGAGACCACTCCTTCCACACCGTTCTATCGATTCACGAACCAGCTCTCCGGCTACTGTACCAGCAAAATACCCTACCAGCACGCTACAACTAGCAGGTACAACGGGTGAGGGCGAAGTAGGCACTCAAAACACAATTCAGTGTATACATTTGTAGGCTTCAAAAGACTCAAAATAAGACCAACATCCAGCCGTTAATTCTCCCACTCACTTCAAATCAGCGCTCACAGCACTAGTGCCGTTTACTCCAACCCGTGGTCACACAGAAGAGCCCCTCTCTACCCTCCCCTCCTGCGGCACTTTGCCTTCGATTTTTAATGCGAGAAGAGTTCAGCGCTCTCTTCCCTCTGTGTACACACGAACTAGCGCTATCCACTAGGCCAGGAGCGGAAGCGAGAGAAAAACTCACTTTGCAAGAAAAGCTCGCTTACGCCGGGATTCGAACCCCTGACCTGACCTCTAGAAGGTTTCGGGGATACCAACTAGACCACCGGGGCGACTCATTGTAAACACTTGAACACGTCCCCTTCGACTACTGCGGTACTATCTCCAAGGGGGCCGTCTTCCTTAGTGATTGTTATATTTCCAGAAAACGTGACACCCCTCCCGCAGCCTACCTGCACGTCTTCCGCTATGGCTTGAAGCGTCCGCTGGACCCTCGCGTGCCCCATGTCCCCGAGGTAGATATGCCTGCTGCCGCCGTCGCCCCCGGCGAGCCCCATTTCCGGCTCCCCCCACAACACTCCCCTCCGCTTCCCCCTGGGCCTCATCCCGTCCACCGCCCAGCCTTCCCGTTCCCCTTCCTTGTCGCCAGCTTCGGCGCCGCTCCCCTTGTGGGCAAGCCCGGCCACCGCCGGCGGGCCGCCCTCCCCGAGCGACTGCGAGCGTAGCAAGGCCGGGCCGGTGCGGCGGTGCGGCGACACCGACCGCGCCATCTCGCGCCCCTGTCCCTGTCCTTTGCGGGCCCTCGGCGGCTTGCGCGACCCGTGCCACGACTCCGACCGAAAAGCCTCTTCGGTGTCGAGATCGCTCTGGGACACCCGCGGTTCTGACTGCGGGTTTTCCATGGTCGAGGGACGCGGTCCCGGTGTCTTGGGCGGTAACGGCGGCGGCGGCGGCGGCGAAGTCGTCGCCCGCAGCAGCCGAGGCGAGTCCTCCGCGTAGGCGAAGCGCAGGAGGAGGACTTGGCTCCCGGTCGTGCGGAGGAGGCCCCTGAGGACCCGGACCACGTTCTCGTGGTTGAGAAGGTTGAGCTGCTCGTGGTTCACGCGCACGAGGGCGTCTCCCACCTGGTGGTTCGGCATGCCCGGCGGTCCGCCAAGAAAACAAGAAGGGGGCAATTGTCGTAATCGGCATCGTGGCTGGCGAAAGGGAGTGGCAAACGTGGCAGGCAAGGTGTACCTACGTCATTGCCGGATGGTCTAAGCTGGCGCACGGGGTAAAGCCGAACACTACAAATCCTATCTCACATGTACGACAAGAAATAAGTCGTTTGCGGAATCGTGTTAGGCGGCGAGGAGTGGCAATCGCAAAGAGGGTGCACCGATGTGAGTGCCGGATGGTCTAACTGCGCACGACGACAAGCTAAACACATCACGTCCTACCGTAAGTCCATATGAGCTACTTGTACCGGTGAAACAAGGTTTACCTTGATTGCTGAGGATCGGTTCTGGTGGCGTAGGATACACGCGGACTGCCGACGCTATTGTACCCATATTGCTTCCCTTGCAAAGGGTCAAGGATGTCGCCTTGCCTGTATGTCGCCGCATGCCGAGGGACACTCTTGCATACTGTAATACCAACATTTCCCGCCCGTGTAAAGCATGAAGGAGAAAAAGGAACGTGTTCGCCTTGCCTGGATGTCGCCGCATGCCTGGGCAGGCCCGATGTCGCCGCCCTGTACGGGCGAGAAGCCCTTGACACGAACATCATTTCCCGTGATGTTGAGAGACAGACCGAGACCCCTCGACACGTTCAGTCGGACCTACACCACAATGGAGACGAGTAGTGAAGCAGTTGTGAGCAAGACACGCCTCGCTGTAGCCGTGTGTATGTACACAGAGAGAGCAGCCAGGCCAAGATATAGGAGGCAGAAATACCGGTGTATTTTCGAGGCCAGCTCATACCCCCGGTTAGGTACATGGTGAATGGGGCGGTGGTAGTACTCTCGAGACAGAAATGATATAGGGTCATGAAGCAGCAGTGAGCCACAATGACGCCAACAACGACTAAAAAACGACAGAGGTAGAGGCAGGTAGGTCATGAGGCTACAGTGAGCCCGACAACGAGGGCACCACAAGCACTATTGTACCACAACAATGACAACAACAGCAACAATGGCAACAACAGCAACAATGACAACAACAGCAACAATGACAACAACAGCAACAATGACAACAACAGAAGCATCAAAAACAGAGGGAGAGACAGGTCATGAGGCTACTGTAGGCCATGACGCCAACAATAACAATAATAACATCAACCCGTAGGAGACGTAATTGTATCAGTGTTTCACAGGTGGGGGGACGCACCTCGTACTGGCTGGGGGGCACAAAGGGGTTAGGGTCATCCATGGCCGAGACAGGCAGCTCTGTAACCGTCGCCAAGTGCGCCGGTATTCTAGACTCTCGTCGAGACCTGGTTCGGTTGAATTGCCAAGAGCAGGAACAAGACCCGCAGACGGACGTCTCACGGTGCGGTTACATGTGTCACGGAAAAAACCGCATGTGTCATGGGGTAAAACCCCCATAAATCATGGGGTAATCTTAGGGTCGCACGGTGCGACAACCGGTGATCCGCCAAGTCGTAGTTCCTCGCCGTTGCATACGCAGCGCGGCACCAACCTTGGGGTAGGGGTCGAAAAGTCAGCAGTAGAGTAAAGCAGAGCTAGCTGGACGAAAGCCCCAAGGGACGCGGAAGAGGCCGGCAGGAAGCTCTACGAATACATTTTGCTTGTACACGCAGGCAAGACAAAGCAAGAGACAAGAAATGACCTGAGCCTATGCATGGCTCAACAAGCGATCGTCAGCAACCAACAAACCCATGTCACCGTCCCGCTACCCGACTGTTTTATCCGTCCAAGGATTGGACCAAGAGGTATGGATGACGAAGGCTGGAAACAACAAACGAGAGAACGCGGTGGAGCGACATTGTTCCACTGTAGACACCACGTAACCTCCCAACTGTGGCCATGGGCACCTTGGCGACGACTGCGCAGCTACAAACCCACGTATGCGGCATGACTCCAAGCGTGTAACGACTCAACCGAAAACGAAGGCGGGGGTTGCGATCCAGGGTGCTCTGCGTCTATCTTTCGCAGTACCTCAGCGTGCCCAAGCATTGCCGCTTCACGCCCATCATTCCCGAGACCAAGAGCATCTTCCTTCGCCTCTTCCAACCCGCCTCGCCCTTCCGGGGCCCCCTCCCGCGCGCCCCCCCCCCCCCCCCTCCGAGGTACCACCGGCATCGCTCGTGCCCTTCTCCGCCTTCAACGCGCCACTCTCATCGCCTTCCGCACCCGCCTTGCTCGCCGCTGCCATCGTGACCGAGCTACCCCGGCTGTTGCCGACCTCTGATCTGTCCGAAGACGCGCTCCAGCTCTCTTTCCCCGCGTCGCTAGTCGTACCGCCGTCCGCCTGGTGGTGAGGGGGGGGTGGGGGGGATGTACCTCATAGTCGTGCGGGG